CCATCAGGCCCTGACTGCTTCCATCCAAAACCTTTCCAATTTATTATTATCACCAAAAATCCTATCACTTAACTTCACCTATTCTGAGGTGCTGACAGAATGGCAAAATAAGTACTCTCGCGTCTATAGGGTTTGCGTGACTAATAGTAACGGGTTCTGGATAGGATGTTTTGATTTATTGGCTCTGCTATTACAACCGCTCTGAAGTACAGCCAATTATAACAGCCCACAATCGATGAGTCTTTCAGACTCGCTGCATTCCTTACTGGACTGCGAGTGTCTTCTCTTTCCCTGTGACTGACTTGGATAACATTTATGAATCGGTCATATCTTCAGCTTCCGTTGTCTGATGGTTAGCACTCCACAGCTGAACACTCAACTTCTGAACTTCCTTCTCAGTTCTCTTACGAATGAATCACGAGTCACGACTCCCGTACAACTGAACTACGATTAACTCTTCTGTAAGTTGGGGGCGAAGCGAATGTAAGTCATCATGTCTTACAGTTCCTCTGTTATTGTGTTCATGACCATAGCCATGGGAATGTGTGTTTGGCGAGCCGTTGGCTAGCAATGGACTTCTGCTACTGTTCGTTGCCGCTGGAACGTATGTTTGATTAGCCGTTGATTAGCAATGGACTTCCGTTCTGGTTCCGCTATTCTCACTTTCAGGCGTCATGTCACAACACAAAAGCCTCAACCTACTTCTCTAAAATCCATTTTAAAATATTCTGACTTCTCTATGATATCCCAGAAAATCTATTCCAATAGATATTTGATTGTATTATTTGTGAAATGCATGATGCCTGCCGCAATGCTATCCGTTCTTGATTAATCCTTCCGAAGATACAAGATAAAGAATAAAAATTCGTTCCTCATTAGGTAATTTTTTTAAATCTTTCGTCTTTCTATAGAGATGGGGTACAAGAGGGTGCGGACTGTTGCTGTTTAATGCCACGGTATTCCGATCGCTTAACCTGCTGACTGTACACAAGTACAGTACTGTAAGGTGTGTCAGTAAGCCCCCTTCCCTGGTCCTCAATTGTGTCCCAACGCTTCCTGTATTACGATTCGATTTCCTGATGCCGTAGCTGTATGAGAGCTGTGGACGCCTGTGTTTTGGAAGTTTTATAAGTAAGATGAACGAGGAGTCCACTTATACGAATAACCGTACCGTCGCAAAGTCATTACCCTCACTTATACCCTCATTGATTAACACAGAAAACTGCGGGAATGTGTTCGACTCGAAGAGGGGATCCTGATATTCGAACGTACGCAGCTGTCCGCGCTAGCGTGAGCGGTAGGATTTCAGGTACTTGGAAACTCAAGAAGGTTTTTTTTCTTTTTAATTTGTAGAAACGGCACAGGAGCTTCTCAGAAACCGCATCCATTTTTTTCTGCCAACAGCTCTCGAGAACAATACATACATACGTGGTAAATATGTATGTCGTTTTATAAATCCCAACCCACAAGTTAGTTTCATATTCCTTTTACTAATTATTAATAGAAATTCATTTTCCATCCACCTCGGATAAGCGGGACCTCCTGCTTTTATCACTTCTTTTTCGTATTCCGTAGAATTCGTGATGGAACCTTGGCTCCTAGACCGGCTGGCATGCTTAAATTTTTTCGACGATTTCCTTATTACTCGACGAAAATTCTGGGTTCTGCTTCCACAGCCATTCAAATTCACCATTAACATTCGTCCTGCTGTTCTACATTATTTAATAAAGTTTAAAAGCCTTCCGTAAATCAGTCCTTATTAATTGTGAAAGGATAAGATTTTAACCTACGCTGAAATAGAATAGTTAATGTTTACCTGCTGTCACTAATTTCGAGGACGTTATATCTAGGTGGGCAGACATTACAGTTATCTCTTCATGTCCGTCGTTCAGTAACCCCCCCCCTTCCCCAACTCCAGTGCCGCGTTATTCCTCTCTCCAGATTTCGGATCCCTCAACAAAAAGACGCATCAGATCACCAGTCTATCTCGTAGCAGTTTATATGTTTTCTTAAAGAAAACTAGCAGTTCAACATCGAAGATAAAATACGAGTATACTCATATCTGATGCATACAGGGTTATTTCTCCATAATCCAACTGTATGCAAAGTACAATAAAGGCTTTCACACACCAGAGCGATCGCGGTGGCGAGAAAGTCTTCTCACACCAAAAAACGTGGTGGTAGCGATCAGTTTGAAAAATCGCGTAAACATAACATCGTAAACGATGCATTGATTATCTCGTCTGGAAGAAGCGTTACTTTTGGCAGCAGTAGTTGATGGTGAGGAGCAGCAGCAAACAAGGCAATTATTCCTTTTTATTTCCTACAATTTGAGAAATTTGAGAAGTTATTACAAATATGAACATCACAATTAATTGTTTATTAATGAATATGTTTTTCAGAAAGATGCGTAAGAAAACGTGGATCTGCCCATTTGTTCCCAGACTTCATCTTTCTTTTTTATATTTTTGTAATCAGGATGCGACAAATCAAATTATATATTATGTAATTTTACTTCTTCGATAAGTTGCTCTGTTGTTGTATTCATTGTTAATGCTAACACACAGCGACGCGGGTAGCGGTCAAACTCGACAAGCTGCATCTGATCGCCACCGCGGAGTAGACCGCTGCACTGTTCGGAACGCTACCCGCAAGATCACTGCCTGTCTGAAAGCGTCTGTAAGTTCAGCAGGAAATATCTGACAGCCACCGCCAGCGCGATCGCTCTGGTGTGTGGGAGCCTGAGGTCCAGGAATACCTTTCACTACATTCTAGCATGCAAACATGCTGTGACAGAATTATTTGTACCGACTATTCGGGTATTCCAGTAACTTAACTCCATGGAGCTGAGCCTTTCTTGAGAAACCACGAATTGTGCAGCTACTTAAGAACTCCCTAGCAATTTATGGAACCATAATGTTCATTACCGTGTTCACAAGAGCCCTCCACTGGTCACTATCCTGAGCCAGATCAATCCAGGCCATACCATACCACCCCATTCTATCTCTCTAAGATCCATTTTAATATTATCCACCCTCATAAGTTTTTGTTCTCCTAATGGTCTCTTTCTTTCTGCCTTTCTCTCCAATATCCTATATGCATTCATCGTCTTCCAATTCGTGCTACATGCCCTGTACATCTCCTCCTTAAACTCACTATAGTTATACTTGGCGGAGAGTACAAGTTATGAAGCTCCTCATTATGCAGTCCTCTCCAACTTCCCCTCACTTCATCCCTCTTCGATCCAAATACTCTCAGCACCCGGTTATGGAACACCCTCGGCCTGTCATCCTCCCTTAACGTCAGAGACCGCATGCAAAATAGTAGTTTTATATATTATAATTTTTACGTTTTTAGACAGCAGACGAGAAGGCAAAAGGTTCTGAATGGTAGCAAGCATTGTCCGAATTCAATCTCCTTAATTTTCTTCTTAATCAAAAATGTATTTTTTACTGTCGTTTTCAAACGTTTGAACTATTCCACATTTTCAAAGGATCTGTTAGCTTTTTGATTTGTTTCATTCTGGTCCGTCACACTAACACTATTACAAATGATAAAACAGTTCCGTCCAGTGTGACTGTTGAAGCTTTTGCTACTTTACTTCTTAGCACCCTAACATGTTTCGGTCCTTATGGACCATCATCGGAGGGAACATCAATACTTTTAGAAACTACTGTCACATTTGGTGTTTTGATTTTTAAAATTCATAAATATACAGTATTTGTAATATACACTTGATACAAAATCCAAATTTCTTACAACTCAGCAACTGTCCTTGGTGCATTAAAGTTTTTTAAAAACTTTTTATTATTTAAGTTAAAATTCTTTAACCGAATAGGTTCGTGTCCCTTGTTCTTTCGTTTTTCTTGACGGGGCCGAACTTGTGCCGCCTGTCTTTCTTGGGAAGGTAGTTCTTGTTGTCGTCCTATGTTTGTTCATAGCATGCTGTGTTGTTTTGTTTTGTTGTAGTTCTTGTTGTCGTCCTATGTTTGTTCGTAGTGTGCTGTGTTTTGTTTTGTTGTAGTTTTTGTTGTCGTCCTATGTTTGTTCGTAGTGTGCTGTGTTGGTTTTAGGGTGCTAAGAAGTGAAGTAGTAAAGGCTTCAACAGTCCCACTGGACGGAATTGTTTTATCTTTTGTAAGATCTGTTAGCTATCTTCATGTCATAATTTTACCCTGCATTCTGGTGACGAGACAGCAACATATACTTAGTTTTCTCTGCTTTTTTCTTGTAGACGAACACTCCCTTTTTTTCCCCTTGGCACTACAGCCCCAGTGGGCTTAGGCCTGCCTCCATGAACTTCTCCGTTCACTTCGGTTTTTCTAGATCTTACACATTCGGTAGGACTCCTTGGGCGGGTGATCAGCTCGTCGCAAGGCCTCTACCTGTACCCAAACACAGAAGAACGAACACACACAAACTAAACATCCATGCCCTGAGTGGGATTCGAACCCACGATCCCGGCTTCCAAGCGAGCGAAGACAGTGCATGCCTCAGACCGCTCGGCTACCGTGACCGACCAACCCCCTTACTATCGTCAATTAAAGTTTCTTTGTTTTTTCTGGATGGTGTTTATGTTATTTCCCAGTAGATTTACATAGTCTAATTTACATATTCTAATGCTGGAATAAATTAGTCCGAAACTGGAACTGGATAACAACCTAAGCTATCGTACATTGATCTAAATTTTGATTCTTTAATTTATTTCGTACCAGATGTAATGACTCTTTCTGAAGAGTCTCTTCTGTAACACCGCTTCTCACAAATGTAGATGATGTTGAAATTAAAATAGGCTAGTCTTTACAGATGTGTCTTCCAACTTTTTCCATAATGGGGATATACAATATTTAGGCTTGGAGTACCAGTACCTACCTTCACGAAAATTCCGTCCACGTATCATCAAATTGTCCGCAGTAAGCAGATGCAAAGGCGCAGAAAGCTTCACAGTATTCAGCAATGGAGAAACTGGCGTGAGAACTCCGATAGATACGTGTACATACCTGCTGTGCCTGAGTCGAGTCGCCGTTGGTTACGTGTGCCTCACCATTTTGCTGACTGGGGGCGGTAGTCTTTTTGTTTCCGAGCACCTGATTGAGTTCCTGAGAAATCTGGGAACATAACGATATGACGTTAGCCACAACAACACGAAAATATGCTACATTTAGCGCCCAAACCAACTACCGCCTTCTTACGTTATGAAGTTATAAACATAACGATTTCACGTTCTGAAATTGTAATTCGCTCAAAGTAGTCATAAAGGCTGTCATGTTTCGACTGTAGTATATTACCCATTTGTCATGTTGTTTTCACGTCCCTTTTGCTTCCTCTAGATTCTGTAGTGTCAAGCGCCTGCTGTTACAGAAGTGTGACATACGGGTTCTATGATTTTGAAGTGACCTGCGGATACAGAATTTCAAACCCGCTAATGCAGAATGAATTTAAGTTCAGGAACCAAGCAGGACATTCTTAGTAATCTTATATGTGAAGAATGGTTAAGAAATACGTACATTAATTTGAAGAATGGATGCGCGAGAGAACATCCGGGTGGATTTTATGATACCGAAGGAAGTGCTTGAGAGGCTTCACTCATGCTTCGTACTTGAGAGGTTCCTGGCTCTGTTCTCGATCAGGCACCCGTCTATCCTGATTGAAATTGCCATGGGTTTTCTCTTTTCGTGAAGTATATTTTAGGACATAACGTGTTCACTTTTTTCTACATCCTTCTGCATTAATCTTTTACAATCGTGCCTACACTGACGCATCTGAGAAAACATAGTCAACCTAAGGAACAACTAAACAAACGTCTGGTTATCTTGATTCATTAGATTCGTACGAGCTCGCCACCTGTCTCTTTTTACTCGAATATGATTACCAATTTGAAAGAAAATGTGTAGTAATGGACTTCTTGCTTCTGAAATTAGTTCTGGGTACCGTGTTCGCTTATCACTTTTAAGCTCTTTTCTTTTCTCCGCGTTCAGTCTTTAAGCTGATTCATCTTTATACTTCTGTGGATTTCGTCCGTAGATCCTGCATGGCAAACCAGTAATAGCACAAGTAGTGCGTTTCCCGTAACTGGGTTTGCACGGACCTGTCTGGACTCAGTGAGGCAAGCAAGGAAGCGACACGCATATCATTAAGCATCTACGTAGTATAAACGAAAGTACTTGTAGGTTTATGACAGAGAGAGGGGGTTCACCGCAGCAAGGTTCCACTAGCAACTGCAAACACCGGACGAAAGCTAAACACATCGTTCGCTCATTTAATCATCTACTTCTTAATGCCGTTCTTCCTTTGTTTCCTTGTTTATACCAGGCTCTAAACAATTTACGTTTGGTATTAACAAGGCCTGAAATGATCAAATTACAACGAACTCAATTTCGGTACTGCTTTTCGACGCTATGTAGACTTAGTTACTGAGAGCGTCATACAATATGTTACATGGCTAAATAAATATATACTGATCTACACAGTTGCTTGGCGTGCGCCTGTTAGTTTTAAAAACAATGATACCAGTTAGTCACAGTGCAACATAAGCTTCTTTAATACGCAAGAATAACAAGATGCTGGTCACATGATCAAATTAATTACTGTACAAGAAAGTTAAGAAGAATTACAACAAATGAATTATTCAGCACATTCATGCTCTCTGCTCTACAACACGTGTATGCTAGAAACAACAAATGACACATGTGGAAAATCGTATTCTTTGACCCTGAAGTTCTTGGCATTTCAAGGGGCAGTAATGTCTGTATTATAATAATAACTAACCATACTTAGTAGTAATAATTATAATATATCTTTTGTCAATATTTATATTTCCTTATGCATGCTATTCTGTAATAGAACTGTCAATAGATTCACTCTTTCAGATAATTTTGTGGAAGGTTGGTTGGTATTTTCTTGACTGCATTAGTTAATTTTGTCCTTATGTACATGGATGTTTGTCAGATCTGAACGTGTTCCAGACCACACTTATAGACGGAACGGAGAGAACTTTTATATGATATGTGGATTTTGGAGGCGTATTTGGAAGCTTTCTGTTGACGAGTATGTCCAAAGCGATACTGGGCCTCACCTGGTATAGATTGAGGAACTTTGTCGAATGGAATAAGGCGTCCGGATATTGAGGCTGTCCGTTCCTGTGCATCTAAAGACCAAGTTAATGCTTGCAGTTTCATGTCCAATTTCCCTGCACTTTTTCACGGTTTATTGTATAGATATCATTCGGGAGGGGATATGTGAGAGCTCGATGTTTCCCCCCCCCTCGCCATAGCCGTCTCCAGATCGTCTTCAGAGTCACATACAATGGAGTCCTATGTGATGGATTCCAGAGGTTCACTCTTTGAGAGAGAAACGGGCGGGGCGTGAATTCGACTGCTTGCCCCCCAGTAGTTCCATGATGAATGTACATTTTAGGATAAGGTACAGGGTTCTTGGTAAATGTGATTAACTTACATGGATCTTAATTTTATTTCATAGATGTTATCAGCGGTGCTCTTGGATATAGCGCTGCATTACTCCTGCATGTCCCATGCGAATGAGAGAACAGGAAGATCATGTATATACCACAAGCTGCACTACAGCAAGAACAGGTAGGGACTTCTACTTCTGCTGAAGCGAATGAGCTTCTGACAACATCGAACCGTTGCGTAACATTGAATTTGCTGCTATGTCCCATTGTTTCTACATGAACGGATTTTGTGTCAACTCACAGGTGTTGTTGGTTTAAGAAACTGTAGTAACCACAAGGAGTAAAATTGTTAGTTTCACTTCCCAGACCACTAATGCTTCTGATCCTTATCTCGGGGAGAGGAAGGTAAGTTTCTTGCATTAGTGATCTTTCTCTTGAAATTATTGTTTATCAAAATTTTGAAAGTTCTTAAGGTTAATTTTTATGCAATTAATTTAGAAATGTCCTGTTAAGAAACTTGAAGTTCCATCACTATTGTCATAGAAGCCTAGGAATTGGACCAAGTCTGAGAAATTTCAGGTCATTTGATATCCTTGCAACCTAATTTCTTAATGTCGATTTAATATTGTTCTCGTTTATCGTTTCTAGGTTTTCCAAGTGAGCTGCTCCCATGAGGTTCGGCTTTTAATATTATGTAATTATTTCTTGTTTCCTCATGCTTTCAACGTGATCTAACCAACTTCTCGTTCAAAACTTATCATTCTAGCAATACAAAGCGAAGAGAACGAATTATGAAATTAATTTGATTTATTCATTCCCTTGTTACTTCGTGTCACGTCCAAATATTCTTCTCTGCACCTTATATTGACATGTAGAATCTTTCTTCTGTCCTCAGAGCGAGATATTAGACTTTCAACGCCTTTCAAACACTGTTCATGCTATAATTGCTACATTCATAGCTAAATATTCAGCTCTATTAAATGCAGGGGTATCAGTTGATGTAATAAATCGATAGGACGTGATCCTCTTAAAAGTACGGATATCCTAGATTGATGTAAATTTTATATATCTACATATCACGTGATTTCTTGGTAGTATGACGTTGGTCTTATTTATTTGGAAGTACTGGGGAATGTTGGAAAGACCTCTCACTTGGTTGTTAGGAAGAGAGAGATACGAGTACATGACTAAAAATGATAGGTATACGAGTATATATGGTAAAAGCAATATGCCCCTATAATATAGTGTTTGAAATGCGGTTGATTCTTTGAAAGCCAACCGAATTTTCGGAGGAAAATGTCGACTCAATTTTCGGAGTCGAAGAGTAAGCCAAGCAAGGCACCTTCATAAACAGGTAGCCAGCCGAGGTGCTTGCTGTCTGCTTCACGCTGGTTTCTTGCTTTGCTTACATTGTGACCCTGAGGATAGAGGCGGCACTTTCCTCAGAAACGTCGGTTGACTTTCAACGGATTCCACGGTATTATGTCCCAGAAGATAGACCTCTTTCTTTACGTACATCTATAATTTTACGACTGAAATGTATTATTGAAATTAACTGCCCTTATTTAAAAGGTTTTATTTAAAAGTACAGCTTGCATTATACTTAATATATAAAATTACGACAATTTATAGTGTTTAATTAAATGAAGCGTACAGTGCTTAAAACTAATTTTCTGAAGTGTTTGAATATTTATATAAACGCCTCCATTGTTGACACGAAATGCCGTATCACTGGCATCCCTTATTAAATGCACTTATCATAATTTTTGGGACATAGGCTATGAAATTTGCATTTAAAGCGTTCGATGTTGCTAGAACAAAATGAGTGTGTGGGTACCTGGATACTTTGCCAAAGATGGAGCAAGTTCAGCGGTGGCAGCGATAGATGTCTCTTTCCTGGCTCGAACAGATAGGAAGGGAGGTCAAATAACTGAAAGCAACAAGTCCTCACTAATAACGCCTCCTTCAGTAATTTACCTACCGATATGTTCCTCTTTAAATCATACGATTAAATTTTGTCCCAAAATAAGACATATGAATTAGTTCTTTTTATTTTTTATGATTAATTTTGTTGGATATATTATGTAATTTACTAAAAAGTGAAATCAGCAGATTCTTACGCCCCATTAATGTCAAACTGTCATTAAAATATTAAAATTTGTTCCATAGTATTAAAATTTATAATCAAGGAACTGTGTTTTCTTTGGCGTTTAGTTGCAAGATTTATTTCCTTTGAAAACATAATCAAGTGGTAATTCATCTTGATATTTATAATATATGTTGGTCACTTCCTTCCATTTTCACTTTCATGAAACATTGGGTTTAATTTTGAAACTCATGAATATTTGGTCAAAGTACAAGGTAATGTTCGTTACATCCAAATACTGTGTGGAATTATTATTTGCGATATGTTGATCTCGGGAAGGCGATAAAATTATGTTCGTGATTGTGGTTGGATGTCGTGTCCTCTTCTACCATGTCGTAGGAGCAAAACATAAGAGTAACAGAACAATACAAGAATTGTATAACAACCTTCACATAGTTTCACAATGAAGTATCAAGGATATTCATATTTTAAAACTCTGATTAACAGATTATTTATCTAGGAATACACCAGTATTTTAAAATTGCTTCACGTGTCTCTAAACAGCCTACAGTTTGTGCCACTTGTACATTTAATCACTAGTTCACCAGCAGTTGGATCATATCTTGTAGCGCTTTACCAGTGAATACGTATGTAAGTCTAATCATGTATCCGTCCCTACAAACAAGATTGCAATGTGTCTTGAAGAGGACAGTCTTCTGAGATGTGACGCCATGTAGATATTGTGTTAACCGACATTTCAGAGGACATATCGCCTCCATCTTCAGGGTAGAATAAAAATGAAGAAAATCAGCGTGAGCAGGTGCTAACAGACTAATGTCGAGTCGAGTAAACCCAGCTGTATAAGAGCAGGAAGTGAAGGGAGAGGGGCTACATGGGAAGTCAATAGAGAGGAGAGGGGAAGGGTCTGCGGAGGTGGGCCAGCAGGTAGCAGGCCAGAGCAGATATAGAGTATTGTGTCGGGGTGAGAAAGGCCCATCTCCCTTCTCTTCCTGCTCTTATACAGCTGGGTTTACTCGACTCGACATTAGTCTGTTAGCACCTGCTCACGCTGTTTCCTCACTCGCTGATTTTCTTCTTCTTTCTTCTACCCTGAAGACGGAGGTGATACGTTCCTCCGAAATGTTGGTTAACACAACATCTACACGGCGTCACATCCCAGAATACTGCTTTCTCCATAGTCACCGCCGTGAAAACATCAAATCCTGCAAGATGTCCTGTTTACCTACTAGGACTATGATAACATTCAGGCTCAACCTGTGCCTAGATGAGAGGAATAGAAACAGTGATATAGTTCTCTAAGTCTGGATTATGTCTTAGAGGTTTACAGACTGGTGTTTAGCTCTTAGAATTATTTAAAAATCACATAGGCTTAGGCCGTTCATGAGTGTAGCATCCTGGATTCAACATTGTGAAAATAAATATTGGAGGTAAGTTTTCTGTTATGTGGAAACAGTTACTGATGCACTGACTCAAAACGTATTGGAAGTTGAGTCAAACAACAAAAAGCAAACCACTGTGCAATGAAAACCGTTCTACGGGCAAAAAATATACCAAAACTCATGCAGTATAATGTATTACAAACAAAAACTGAGCAAAATAGTATTTACAAAACCACCGAAACTCAAGTAAAAATAATTTGTGTGAACTATTAAAAATAACAAAAACCAAAGTAAAGTCATATAAGGGGTCGCGCCATAGCTCAAGCGGTTAGTCGCTTGCTTCCCACCGCAGCGGCCCGTGTTCAATCCCGGGTCTGGTCAAGTGGGATTTGTAGTGGACAAAGTGGCGCTGGGGAAGGTTTTTTTTCACAATCACCTCCACCTATCATCTGGGGCTGGTACAATAGGCCAGAAGTGGCCACAGTACAAGGGACTTAGACCCACCCCACTAGCTGTAAAAAAACTACTCAAAACGGTACCAGAGGCAGCAGAAACATTATTTAAAGAAAACAGAGGGATGAGCTTTAATTAAACTCTCGTCTCTCAATAGACAATACTGAAGGAGACATTCGTAATCAAAATTGAAACCTGCAAGAAACTAACCCCGTCTACGCATCCATCACCGAAAGGTGAATGCCAGCCAGTATATTATCACAGCTGAGAGGACTTCTATATGGAAGTTTGTTTTGGATTACAATCTCATTCAAATCAGATTGTCAGAAAGAACTGGCAACATTTATGTAAAAGTAAGTCGGAGGTTTTGCTTTGGCCTTAAGATTACTGTCTCCTGGGATGTTTCCTTGTGCAATTTGCTAGAAACGAATCTATGTTTAGGAGGATTGTTGCTGCCTTGACCTTCATTGTAAAGGGTGGAGGCAGCCTGTTCCTCTGGAACGTTGGTAACTATATACCAAATCACACTGCATCACATCCCAGAATACTGCAGTCTTAATACCAACCGGAGTGAGGCTCATAACATCTCGTACATTTTTTGCGTTGTTTGAAACTCTCGAAATTCTTTCGTGCGAATTATATAAGTTCTTTCTAATAAGGCATGTGTTCTTTCTGATCGCTAATAGGTGATGCAAGAGGATCACTTTCAGTAGTTCAGTAATTCACGGGTTACGATCGAAGAGCATGAACATTTGCCCATGATTTTTTGTATTGCCCTGTGATGATAGAGATCTTCCTACGGCTGACGGAGTCCTGCTCCTTGTCTCAGTATGGACTCAGGAAATCCGTAGTAGGGGAGACCAAGGCTGTATTCGGGCTGTTAGCGCCGAAAGTCCTACGAGCAGGGGCTGCGGTTAATGCCCAGGGATTTCATGTTGACTGTTCGTTTCAGATGGATTCTGTACCGTTTTGAGTTATCATTCTTTATTAATTGCATCTGGATCTCAGGAGGGAAGTTCCTACCTGTTTACTGGCGTTGATGCTCTCCTCCAAGGTCGAAGTAGAAGTCTGCTTATCGTAAAACCTTTTAGTGACTTTTTCCTCCTCCGTGCCCTCGGTCTAACGAGATAAAGAACACCGTGTATCACTTCGTGCTGAGAAATAGCTTATCTATGCCGTATTCTACGTAAACAATTGGGTTTCCTGGGGGCTGTGATTTCAATCAGTTACCAACCTGAAGGCAAATTTGATATCGTTTGCAGTTTGCATTTTGGTGGTCTTTTCGGGCTCAACATTGTAAAGAGAGGCTATCGTAACAGAAATAAGCTTAATTGTTATTATTGAAAGTCACAAATTATGGAGAGAAGTTTAATTTTACTGACATCAGAGCAAATGACGTCCATATTTATAACAGGAGTCAAGTTTGTAGCACGCAAAGCATTGAAATGAATGCAGTGGTGGACCGTGTCATTGTATCATTGTTCATATTCTTAAATGATGACTTATTCTGCCAGTTGTGGGCAGCCGTCATCTGATCAATGAAGTAAAACGAAACCAACTTGCCTCTTCCGTGACCTTATTTGTGACAACACTGCTGTCGGAGATGACTTCGGAGACCACGGCATCCTCGATCTCTGAAATGATTTCTTTCAGTGTGTTCTTGATACTCTCCTGCTGAATTTCCGTGGTTCTGGAACCGTTTACAACGGTTTCCTCCTGTTGCTTGGCCGCTGTTGCTTCTTGAACGGGCTCTGATGTTTCTCTGGGCTCCAAGTTGCCTGTTACGGTTTCCTGTTGCGCAGACGCAGAGTGCTGCAATATGTAGCACATTCGAAGGAAACAATAATTTGTCGTCGCAAGCAAGTGGTTATGGTGTGCATTCAGATATAATTTTATCACTTTTCTCAGAAACTGTAAAAGTTTGTGATATAAAACGGAAGGGTAATTGGATTGGTCATATCTTACGCGGTAACTGCCTTCTAAAAGAAGTTATTGGAGGAAAGATAGAGGGTCGGATAGAAGTGACCAGAAGACGAAGAAGACGTAAGAAGATGCTGGATTACCTTGGGGACAGAAGAGAATATTTTCATTCATTTGAAGGAGACAGCCCTAGATCGCTTTAAGTGGAGGAACTGTTTTGGGAGAGACTGTGGACCTGTCGTCAGATTACAGATGAATGAATGAATGAATAAAATCTATTGAACCGAATGCTTATATCCTAAGTGGAATTAATATAGAATGGTTGCGGATGGAGGAATTAATTGCAGATATTTAACTACCTCCCTCGTTGGTGTCTCCACCTTATCGTGGTGAGGGGTTTGAGTATGCCAAGGACCCTGAGAGCTATACCAGCGGTAGCGTAGCTACTGGCAGGGCCTCCCTTGCTGGACAGGTCAAAGGGTAGGCATCAGACGAAGAGAGACACCAAAAACTGATGCCGGAAGCAGCGTCATCAGTAGCGACTTGAAGCACAGAGCAAATGATGCTCGAGATGGTTCAAGTTCGTATAGCAGCAGGCGTGACCAGAGTGGTTTGAACGGCTGCTGTACTGCGATGTGGAAAGCAAATGGAAAAACTACCACATTATCACTTTTCCTGGATAGTCTCTTTCCAAAAACAGAGATACCATATATGCGAGATGTTTCCTCTGGAGGCAAAACAATCCGGAGGTAAACTACTCCCCCAATCGGATCTCCGGGGGGGAGTGTTTCTAGAGGAAATGTCATGCAGGCGTTACAACAAGAAAAAGTGCGAAGATCAGAAGAAACAGCATGGATACAAGATTGGAACATGGAATGTCAGGACCTTGAATCAAGCAGGAAAATTGGAGAATTTGAAAACGGAAATGCAGAAGAATGAAGTGTCTGTGCTAGGTGTCAGCGAAGTGCGGTGGAAAGGACAAGGTGAAATAAGAAGCGGTGATTATACAGTGTATTATTCCGGAGGTGAACGGGCTGAAAGAGGTGTGGCAATAGTGGTGCATAAAAGTGTAGTGAGGAGTGTTGTTAAGAAGATTGCTTGTAATGACAGAATTATTGCTCTGAAGTTAAAGGCGGAACCGGTAGATATACTGATTATACAAGTGTACATGCCAACATCAGAGTATGAAGATGATGAAGTGGAAAAAGTGTATGACACAATTGAAGAAATTCTTCAGGAAGATGGAAGAGGAGACACAAACAGCATCATATTGGGAGACTGGAACAGCATTGTTGGAGATGAACCATATCAGAATATTGTTGGATCACATGGACTAGGAAGACGGAATCACAGAGGTCAAATGCTTATTGACTTTTGTGAACGAAATGGATTGATTGTTACCAACACTTGGTTCAAGAAGCCAAAGAGAAGAATTTACACATGGAAGGCACCTGGGGATTGGAAGAGGCATCAGCTGGACTACATCCTTGTGAAACATCGATTCAGAAACAGTGTGAAGGATGTGAAGACGCTTCCTGGGGCAGACATTGACTCTGACCACAACTTGCTGGTTGCCAAGTTCCGAACCAGGTTGAAGAAAATTATAGGATTTCGAAAGCGCAGACCCAGATGGGATTTGGAGAAGTTATATGCTCAAAGACAAAGCGTGCAAGAGACTCTAGAAGAGAAACTCGGTGCAATTGAAGGTGAAAGCGGAAATGCTGAAGCGCAGTGGAACGATATAAAAGAATGCATGTTAGATACTATCAGTGATTTGGTAGGTAAAGTTGAGAAGATAGCAAGAAAACCATGGGTTACACAGGAGATGATGAGTAAAATGGAGGAGCGAAGGAAATGGAAGAATGTCAACAATGAAGAAGGCAGGAGGAAATACAGGAGACTGAGGAATGAATTGAAAAGAGCCACGGACAGGGCCAAAAAGGAATATCTTGAGAAGATATGTAATGAGATTATGGAATTTCAAAGAACAGGCCGTTATGATTTGATGTACATGAAGACAAAAGAACTAGGATGGAAAGAGAATCATGGGATTCAAAATGTTGGCATCGAAGACTCCCAGGGGAATAGAATAGTAGATCAGAGGCAAGTGCTGAAAATTTGGGAAAATTATATTTCAGAACTATATGATCGACCTAATCGGCCAGAAACCTTAGAAGTTGAACCGGAAGAAGAAGTAGATACAGACGAGAAAGGACCATATATTTTACAAAGTGAGGTGGAAAAAGCTATCAAGGAAATGAGGAAGGGAAAGGCTACAGGAGATGATGATGTACCTGGAGATGTGCTCAAGTTACTGGGAGAAGGTGGTTTGAAAACACTGACAAAACTAATGAACACCATATATGAAAGTGGAGAGTGGCCCAAGGACTTTACAGAAGTTACAATGATTGCCTTAAAGAAAAAGACAAAAGCTACAAAATGCAGCGACCATCGCACAATAAGTCTTATTGCACATACAGCAAAGATAATAGCAAAGATACTTAAAAGAAGAATTGAAAGGAAAATAGAGGATGTACTTGGAGAAGATCAGTTTGGATTTAGAAGAGGAAAAGGAACCAGGGATGCAATTGGGATGATGAGAATTATAGCGGAACGAACTTTGGAGATAGATGAAGAACTGTGTGTTTGCTTCATAGACTGGCAGAAGGCATTTGACCGGGTAAACTGGACCAAATTAATGCAGATCCTGAAAGAAACAGGTATCGATTGGCATGAAAGAAGATTGATTAGCAAATTGTACATGGATCAGAAAGTTAGAGTACGACTGGACAGGGGGGAGACAGGAAGTGTGCAGATTGGAAGAGGAGTTCGACAAGGATGCTGTTTATCACCAATTCTGTTCAACTTGTACAGCGAATGCCTTACCAAGGAAGCTCTGGATGGGCTCGGTGACTTCAAAGTAGGAGGGCAAATTATTCAAACTGTGAAATATGCAGATGACCTTGTGTTAATGGCTAAGGAAGAAACTGTGCTACAGGGCATGATTGATAGACTAATTGAAATTGGAAGGTGCTATGGCATGGAAATGAATGTGGAGAAAACAAAAGTAATGAAAATTTCGAGACAACCAACCCCAGTCACAATAAAGATAGACCAAAAACAAGTGGAGAATGTGAAATGTTTTAAATATTTGGGTAGCTTGTTAACAGATGATGGAAGGTGTACTTGTGAAATTAAATCCAGGATTGCCATGGCAAAAGCTGCATTTAGCAAGAAGAAGAATCTTTTTACCAGCAAATTGGACTTAAATTTGAGGAAGAAACTAGTGAAATGCTACATTTGGAGCATAGCTCTGTATGGGGCTGAAACATGGACACTTAGGGCAGTAGATCAGAAACATCTGGAAAGTTTCGAAATGTGGTGTTGGAGAAGAATGGAGAAGATCAGTTGGACCGATTATGTGAGAAATGAAGAAGTGTTAATTAGAGTCAGTGAGCAGAGGAATATCCTACATGAAATAAGAAAACGGAAGGCTAATTGGATTGGTCATGTTTTACGCAGAAACTGCCTTCTAAAAGAAGCTATCGAAGGAAAGATAGATGGGCGGATAGAAGTGACAAGAAGACGAGGAAGAAGACGTAAGAAGATGCTGGATGACCTTGGGGACAGAAGAGGATACTGTCATTTGAAGGAGAAAGCTCTAGATCGCATTAAGTGGAGGAATTGTTTTGAAAGAGACTGTGGACCTGTCATCTTGACAGATTACTGATGATGATGATGATTTAACTACGCATTTTCAACTACAGTGGTTATTTAATGTCTAATGATGCGAGAAAATACTCGCGTTCGATTAACTTGAAAATGCTGGCGTTGAACCGGACGTGACCTGTTTCACAGCACTATCCCGGCATTGGCTTGAAGGAGCTGACGAATGCGACCTAAGATTTTATCCAGGTAGTCTTTGTGCCAGCCAAGGATCGAAACAGAGACTTCCCGAATACAAGTCAGAAGCGTTATACTGCTTGAACCACCTTGCTCGGTAGCATTGTTTCCTACATAACTCCAAGTTACATGTCTGTTCTAGAAGTTCCCTCAAGGGTAGCAAATTGAAAAATACATTCGTGCCGTTGAATTATATAGTTCACATAGTTTTATTTTTCAGCCTGCATTCCTTATTTCTCAAAAGAAGGTTTATACAATCTCAATGCTGTCTGTGATCCTCCCACCAACTTTTGAATGGCTGAACCAATCTATATGAAACTTGGTATAAATACTATATATCATGGCACCTGAACTCATCTCAATGGCATGCTTGTTAAGTCTCTCCCTTCAGTTTATGTATCCCATTTTCGTTGCTGGGCAACGGCTTGGTAAATATTCCCCCATTGTTGCTAGGCAACGGCTCGTAAAAATGTTACCGCCGCAACAAATACGCACGCAAAAACAAACGAATTGTTGTATGCGTCGTTTTCTGTGCGATCCGTGTCGTGTGAAGGGAAGTAGGCGAGTCCTTCTTCCCAGGACTTTTTGCTCTTTAATGATTTGGCCATAGATGAGTGGATTGATGGGCGGATAAATAGATAGGCGAAATAACTTCTGACTGATCCACATAAAAATATGCGATTCAAACATTAATATTCAGGATGGACTTTCTTTACCTCAGAGAACCTTTGAGCATGTCTATTTTGTGGAAAATATAGCGAAATTCACTGATTTCTGCTAATCTGAAAGAGGTATCTGCCATGTTTCTGAGACATTTCTTTGCAACTGATATCATTTGAAATAATAAACCTGTTTTCATGTTTTGAATGAAATATTTATGCCAATTGTGCCCAAAATAATGGCCATAGTAACCGCGTCAGCCTCTGGACTTCGGTTATAAAACAGACAAAAACCAAGCATCTTTTTTTTTTCGTTCTAGGACGCCCAGCTTGTTTAAGAAAATGACATGAAGTGATGAAACTAACTAATCATTTAATCAGTGTTATAATATCAACCTTTGAAACATAAACTTTAATTGAACAATGTTTAGAAATTAAGTTCCTGTCTGATATTAACACAGTGCATCTCCGTTATAGACAGATTAGTTTATGCCGCTTATGTAAATAATTTCTGTTTAGTCTGAGAATTATAGGAACCCCAGAAACATACTCTCCGAGTGAAATGCAAATTTTTAATTTCAGAGCAGATGGTAAGGGTAAAGATAAAGTTGTCCCTGTGCTTAACTAATTAAGCACTACGCCATGAAGGCGTATGGGAAATTGGATTATAGATCCACATTTTCTTGACCTCGGAAATAGCTGTAGGTGAGTGGTCAGCTTCACGCCCCGGCAGCTTTACCCCCTAGGATAGAGCCCCCCCGTGCCCATTGGATAGGAGGTTCGGTGGGCCTCAGAGCCGGTCTGGACGACGTTGAGAAGAGAAAATATTTGACTGTACCGGGACTCGAACTCCGACCCCTCGGTCGTCTAGCCCGCAGCCAGTCGTTATACCGACTACGCTATCCCGGTTCACTCAGAGCAGGTGGTACACAGGGTAACCACTGGCCTTTAAAAGGTTAACTGGTTTCTGCCTTCCTTGCTCTTCCCTCACCTCCTCTAAAACCTTGCCGTCTTCCTCCCTCTTGAAGTATTCCTGGGAGGATTCTGCTTCGTAAACCTGCTGCTGAGGTGCCGGATCGCCAGATGGCAGCATTGATGAAGCTTCTGGCATATGGTTTCCGTTTGCGTCCAAGGCTTTGTCCTAATAGAACAAAAGTCTTATGAGCAACCTTATCACACAAATTATAATGATCAAATCAAGGAGGATGAGGTGGGCAGGGCATGTAGCATGAATGGGAGAGAAGAGGAATGCATATAGGATATTTATGGGGAAAACCAGAAGGACAGAGACCACTGGGAAGACCAAGGCATAGGTGGGTGGACTATTAAAATGGATCTTAGAGATATAGAATCGGATGTTATGGATTGGATTGATTTGGCTCAGGATATGGAACAATGGAGGGTTCTTGTGAACACGGTAATGAACCTTCGGATTCCATAAAATGCTGGGAAATTTCTTAGTAGCTGCAGAATTGACGGCCCCTCAAGAAGGGCTCAACTCCATGAATAAGTAAGTATCACACAAATGTCAGGTTAGCTTTCTTGTAGAGTATGCCATCTTGTAAATGGGGAAAACATGGTTTAGTCTGGTGAAAGAGGACGAATTTTCCGTGTATACGGTGCATATGGAGAACGTTTAAGTTTGTATGCGTCACCTGGAATCATTTAATTCTTGAATTCCGGGAGATTGAGATGAAACGGCAATATAAGACACTCGTATCTTCACTATGGGTAGTGGAAAACGTAATTATGAAATGTTACTTGAGAGATCAAGACTTGGATAGATCAATTTTAAAATGTTAAAAGGAATTGCTTGGTAAAAACGTGAACTGAAAGTGAATCACGATAGGTAAACTGGCTGTTTTTATTGACGGAGATGAAACTTGAGGCTTCATTGAACAAGTAATTTCTTCTTCGTGGTAATAATTATCGACTGTTTAAGAAAGACTATGTCATGGAATTTTTTGTTCCCTTAGGTTTAGTTTGTAAATATGTGTGCTGAAATATCCAATGAAATAATGTGTACGTTCGGCACGCTTTTGTAGACCCCACGAGAGACTAACAGAACTGAGCTTGCGCAGTGACTGCCAGCTGCTGTCTTGATGTAAGAAACTCGTAGGAGATACTATAAAATAATTAGAAACTGGACATTTATACATGTTTAGATATTAAGCCATTAGGAGGAACAGTGAAACCCTCACAACTGGATTGTTCAGACAGCGATTATCAAGCAAAAATTTCCTTATGGACGTATTTAAAACATTTTTACATGCGAAAAACATCTTGTGAAAATGTCATTAATTTACAATTTAAACAACGCGCGAGGAAATTATGATATTTTAATTTTCTGCAGCGTCCTGAATTGGAAAATGGTTACTTGAAAATTTTCAGCAGCTAACCGAAGAAGTTTTCTTTCGTCAGTCTGTTTTGGTACTAGTTTCTTGAGAAGTAAGGGTGAAGGCCGGGGCCGTGCAAAACAGATCCACAACAGTCTCGTAAACACGGTAAATATGTTTCAGGAAGATAAAGTAAAAGTAAAGCTATCCCTGTGACAGGCTGTGGAGGCCCATAGGGTTGTGAGACGTTAAGGGTCCCACATTATCTAGATAATCGGCTCACAGATGGCGGTAAGGTTCTCAGCCTTACGCGCCGGCCGCGCTTTACTTCTCAGGACATAAAATATGTTTAATTACAGTAAAAGAATAAAACTTAAAAGCAAAAAAAGTAAAGTAAAGCTATCCCTGTAACAGGCTGTGAAGGCTCATAGGGTCGTGAGATGTTGAGGGTCCCACATTATCTAGACAATCGGCTCAAAGATGGTGGTAAGAGTGTCAGCCTTATGCGCTGCCTGCGCTTTACTCCCCAGGACAATTATTTAATTAATTCCTGGTACTCATTTCTGTTAGAGGCTGAGTCGACCCCAGAGCCACACTGCGGCTGGAAGGATTAGGTTAAATGAAAAAAATCCAATGACCTCATCGGGACTTGAACCCGCGACCTTCCGGTATAGTAGCATAATGCCTCAACCAACTACGCTACCGCCTGCCCCTGTTTGAGGAAGATAGGAAAGAAATTTGTCAGAAGGCTAAGAAAATTTTCAAGAAAACACTTGCCAGTTAGGCATGAGATCAGCTAATGTTCGCAGTAGAATTTAGTGGTGGCCGAATTTGGAAATCTCTGGGATCAGTTATCTGTTTTGGATGAGAAAGAAATATATCCCAAGAATGGTGGAAAATAGGATAAAGAAAAGAATCTTTTGGGAGGCCGTAACAGCCGGAAGGAAAGATATTGAGTCTACATTGAGAGCAAAAGCAATATGATGCAAGGGGGCTAAATGACTGAGCCAAGTTGGAAGCTTATTGGAACACCTCTACATATTTTTGGAATTGAGGATCGATTTATCAAGTAACATAGGGCCCATAAGTTTTCTTGCCTTCTACCAATTTGCTTTCAAACTTAGATGGTAAATGCTACTGTAAGTATATGTAATATGGAATCTGCATTGCGGTTGTTTTCGAAGGCTAAGGGAGTGAAATGGGCTGACCATATCACGTTGCTACAAATTTCAGAAACACGCAGAGCGCTGTGCTTTTGTTCGCTGCTTGAGAACATATCGTTCATTTCTGTGGCATGTTGTGTGAAGGGCTGTATATAAATATGTTAATAGAATATTTTCACTCTTAATGATTTTATAATCACTTCTTAAGCGTTAATCATTTCAGTTTACCTTTGTAAGGTCCTTAAGGACAATTTCTGAACTAATGGGGTCCACCTGCTTTTGATTATAATTGTTTTGTATAAATTGAACAGTAATGTTATTGTGGAATAGAAGGAACTCGGGTTCAAAAGGCTAGAATAAGTAACTTAAGTAAATTTTAAATTCCTTCAGGAAGATACCCCCTCAATCCGACGATAAAGATAAGATACTACAGGTGAAAGAGCAAAATTATTTCCCTTACGCCTTTACGGATATAAACATTTCAACAGCTTAATGGCGGGAGCTTTCTTATAACAAAATCCCAATACATTAATATTGACTACAGCTTCTTTATTTCATCTCTGTTTGAAGAAGGCGCAGGCGTGAATTTTGCTGAGCAGAGGTTTTATTGTAACCGAAAATGTTTTATTGGTGTCAGACTAATTACTGATACTGGCGTTACGTTGGATTTCGTGTTCATGAGTATATGAATGGCTGATTATGGCTATGGGATTGGTTAAATTAGCTTCAAAATGTTTCGGAAAACATATTTTATGATTTTTTTTTATAATTTGTTGCGTTTGCAATAGAATGCACATTCTTTAGTTGCAGACAGGTATTTATTATCATTTAAACTATATCTTGTGTAAACATTCTTATTGAGAACAGAGTTAGACCTATGGAGTTCTTTTGTGGAACTGGGCGTCACATTGAAAGAGCGTTTTAAACTGTATTCCATAACATTTTGAAGCCTATAAAGGTTGAAAGCAAAAAGAAACAACATTATTTTAAAACATTATCTTTATTTGTCTTTTCTGAAGGGAATTAACATTTCGTATACATGCATTGGACATAACAGAATATCACAAAGTAACATAAAATTTTGAATTTGGAGTCAATACAGTTCAACAATCCATGTGATGTTGCAACTTGTTGAGAAGACATTGTGGAGGTGGGTCAGGCTAAGGTTTGGGGAGCGGACTTGTCCAGTTCTACGGTAACGACTCCATTTTGTAACTCTTTCCTCCACAAGAATCAGTAAAATTTGTAAAAATACTATCACATTACCAAATATTGTGTGAATGAAAACGTCTTTTGTAAAAAAAAGAACAACAATAACAATATAGGTTACAAAAATACAAATACAGTGTAGATCTGTATGTTTATTTAGTAAGAAAATTATTTTTTCATGTAAACACGAACACCATTTGCAAGACGGACGGACTATACTAATTAAAATTTCTCTTAGTTTGTGTTGTATATGGAAATGAAGGGACACTCTACTGTGCGTGTATATCATTTGAAACCGGTATCCCTCAAAGCCGGCTCGAATTTGCTCAGTCCATGCCTTACAGGTCCCGGATCTGGTCAAGTGGGATTTATGGTGGACAAAGTGGCGCTGGGGCAGATTTTCTCCGAGTACTTCGGTTTCCCCTGCCAGTCTTCATTCCGCCAATTGCTCCACAATCACCCTCACCTATCGTCTGCCAGAAGTGGCCGCAGTACAAGGGACTTAGTCCCATCCCACTAGCAATAAAAAAAATAATGCCTTTCAGGTCAAACGGTATTGACTGTTTTTGTTAATCTGTGGTGGAAAGAAAAAAGATTCTTTGAAATCTAGTTCAGAGACTACAAAATATCACAAATGTACGTGGCGAAAACGTCACGGCACTGTAAGTGGATAAGAGGAACTGACTTCACAGTCTTGTCGGACCGGCTTGAAGGGTTGAGGAATTGTATTCGACTTAAAACAACTTCGTGGACCCGCGTGGAGAGGTATACTTGTATAGAGAAGATTTGTCTTGATTTTTTATGACCAGTAAAGATTCTTACAAAAGTAAGCGATTATGTCTAGGTCTTGTATGAATATGAATGAGAATACAAAAGTATGACAAGGTAAATTCATTTTTTTAACCTCACTTGAGAAATGGAGGATATACAGAATATTGCACTGCTGTTTAAAGGAAAGCGCTTCACCTTAATTAACAATACACTAGTCATACTTTTATTACTTTTAAATTACCATTATCACATTAACAATGGGATACATTGAATGTTATGGATGTAGAGTATACAGAATCTGCAATTTCAGCAATTGCTTATAGTTTGAAATTAATTACAATTGCTTTTTAAACAATTAGCCTAATACGTTTTGGTAAACATTAAAGACTCAAGAGAAAAGAGGACGTTAGGACAGGGACTTGCTGTCGGGTGTCTGGCCCCCTATTTTGGGATGGACGGCTTAGCATACAGCGGGAATTCTAATTTCGGAATTTAATTAGGCTAGCAAAATCCTTTGCCTCCTGCGCGGAAGATTTGACAGTTTGACTTTCTTATGTTGCATATTGTTTTAATTTGTTTTATTAAGAGATCCAAGAATGCTGGGTTTGCTTAAATGATGTCAACCACATTGTCTACTTGTCGCGCTTGCCGTACGACTACCATGGTACTTATTCGAGTTGACCTCAACGAGTTAGTGTTTTACTTTACTTGCTATTTCATTATCGTTCGTAATGTTTTATTGACAGCGAAACATTTCTCGGTGGCACTGTAAAGAATTTCTGGATTCTCTGAGGGCATGTGACAACTGTTGGTTCACTGTACCAAAATTATGACGGACATTGGCGTAAAGAAAGTAGTTCCCTGGACAGTGTTTTTATAAACAAGTGGAAGTTAGGAAAAACTACCCAATGTTGTTGGACTTGAGTTCTCACCGCAGTGACTATGAAGAGTACTAGGGTATGACACCGTATAGTCTGCTAGAAGTTAGCTGACTTTTCAGAGAAACTTCCAAGGTAAAAGCAGAAGCCAGTCAGAAACAAGCAAAGTGTTTATTTCTGGGCTTACTTTTCGCCTCCCTGAAGATGGAGGCAATTCTTCCTTCCAAAACACCGGTAAACGTCTACCAGAATACATGGCGTCACATCACGGAAGATACAGTTTTTACCTAATGTTACTCACAGCCCTAGACAATTTTTTTATTTGTTTTTAAGTGATGCGACGTATTCCGTGTTTCCTTTGTTTTAAGTACGTTTTTAACCAGTTTAGTAGAAATGATTGAAGCAAGCTCTCAGAAATGAATGAAGATATAAGTCTGTTTTAACAGCGAGAAGAGGCGCCAAATTAGTTCCACCCGGCCAGCATGCCCCCGGAACAAGATCATATCTTAAGAGTGAGCAGTCCCTTCGCTTTGCCATGGAGACTCTAGAACTGTATTGTCTTTACCTGCGAGGACCCCTCGATACCGATGGACGAGGAGGATACATGCTTTGCCGTCACAGATGACGACACGCTGCTCGTAGAAGAGGAAACTATGTGGGTCGAAGAGGTGCTGATGGAGCGGTTACTCTCCTGCACCAGCTTTGAGACCTCTTCCGACTGAAATTCGCTGGACTTCTCCTGGATCTTCGTATTCCCGATCTCCTTCGTTACCTGAGCAGAGGAACTCCAGTTTATCATTTTTGTTCCATGTTCAGTAAGAAGGATACATCAGTGTTCATTGATATGGAGAACTGACGGCACAGCCTGCGAGCTCATCTGAATGGTTAATGAACTGTATTCAGCTTAGTTAAAAAAAATAACAAACTCCATGGTTTTAATCCGCAAGCAAACTATACCGACCGAGAGACCGCCGCTTGTCCGCGAAGTTAGTGCCAACTTTAGCGGATACAGGGTGTTGCGTGGTCAGCGCAATGAATCCCCACGGCCGTTAATCTCGGTTTACTAGACCTGAGTCGCTATTTCCTTAAAATAGCTCCTTAATTATCCTCACCAAGCTGAGTGGACCCCGTTCCAGACCCACTACTTCTCAGAAAATCTGTAGCCAGAAAACCCTGGATCTGTAGCCAGGAACTCTGACCGCTAGACCACAGAGGCGGTCCAGTTTAGTTAAACACCATGGATTTTCATCGGGAGATATGTAGAGATGGTCTGCCTGCAGTTTTGATTTGTACTTCTCATAATAACATTTGATTAATTTTAGATAAAATACCTTACGTAACTTTTCTACCGAGAGAAAACAGAAGCGATCAAGAAGATCATCGGAAATCTATCTAGGAAAAAGTTATTTTATGATATAACATTATGACTGAATAGTTTAAATTTTCTTGACCTCGGCAGTACTTGGAGGTAAGTGGCCAGCTTCACGCCCCGACCGCTTTACCCCCGGGAAAGCCCCCCCCCCCGTACTCATTGAATAGGAGGTTGGGTAGACCCCAGAGTCGGTCTGGACGGCGTGGTAAAAGGAGAATTCATTACCCTACCGGTACTCGAACTCCGACCCCTCGGTCATCCAGCTCGTAGCCAGTCGCTGTACCGACTACGCTGTCCCGACTCTATTGTTTGTACCCAGAACCTCCCGAATATGAAGTATGAACCATTGCGTGGCATATAAGTTTATACCGCACCTTATCGCATGTAAATAACCTGCCAGCCGGTATGGTGATTACACAGACGCAGTGTAACGTAGGAGAACACAGGAGGAGCGAGGAGAAGCCGGGAAACATGTAAATTTAGTTAAAAATAAGCGACTAGTAGTTCTGTTTGGATCCCCCATCGTGTTCTATCGATTTTCTTGCAGGATTGACGATGAAGAAGATTTACAGTCTGCCAGGAGAACAGGGAAGCCAGTCATGTATCTCATGAGGGATTCCGATTCTGCCCGTGACTGTGGTACCTTTCCAGGACCGCGGCAGCCCGAGTTCGAGCACGAGTCAGGTCATGTGGGATTTGTGGTGGAAAAGTTGCACCGGGGCAGGCTTTCTCTGGCAAATCGCATTACACCGATTGCTCCACAATCATCAGCTGTCATCTGCGGCTGGTACAATAGGACAAACAGTGGCCACAGTACCAGTTGGACTCAGTCTCACCCACTGAGGAAACAAATGGTACCTTTCCGCATTTCTGCTGTAAACTGCGCGCTTGAGCTTGTGGCGAAGGCCGAAATTAACGGGCTTTGGAATGAAATTCTCAGAAATTTCTAGTCCTAAGTGACTTGTGATAAATTCTAGTTTTCTCTGTATTCTTTCATTCTGTCTTAGTACTCTTCTGTCATCATTGTCGTGTTCGTCAATACTTAACCTCGTTTCGTGACGTGCTTCATATAACAATCGAACTCTTTCGTGTTTCAGAACGTTCTGAGACAAGAACTAGGAATAGTATTAATGTTAAGATTGAAATTTCTATGTAGGCCACCAGCATCCCATTATGTAAATAATAAAAAAAAAGTAAAGCTTCCCCTGTAACAGGCCGTGGAGGCCCATAGGGTTGTGAGAAGTTGAGGCTCCCACGTTTTCTAGACAGTCTGTTCACTGATGGCGGTGAGGTCAGCCTTACGCGCCGGTCGCCCTTTACCACTAGGAACATTCCTGGTACTCATTTCTGTTAGAGGCTGAGTCGAACACGGGGAATGTCGCTCAGAGCAGCTACTATTCTGGTGAAAATAAGAAAGAAAGATTTCTCAAGGCTAATGAAGTATAATTATACTAATCATATTTAAATTATTGTCGTTGCTGACACGCCGTATGTTTTCAGAGAGGTAGGAAGGTCATGTTAAAATTTTATCTACATGCATTTCACTTTGTAAATATTAATTACGGCTGTTGTAATCACTTTGAAAGCTACCGACACCATTATTGCAACATACTGACGTGTATACTCATATGTATGCCTTTGGAATTAAACTGCATACTACACTACCACGCTACGAAAAATGTGCAGTTTACCAAAAAAACGGCGAAATATTATATTTCCAGTATAGACCTATTTTCATTATCGAACCTCGGTAAATATAAATCGGTTAAAATATTCAATCTTCCATAAATATTTACATGTTGAGGCCGAGCATGCGTAGCTGCTGAAGGGTAAACAATTGCAGGATAGGACTTTCATTCCAACTGCAGAAACTGCCTCAGATGCAAGTGTACGCTTCCCATAGTCGGTTTCTCCGCGCGGTTTAATGAATAGTATGAGGAAAGTTAAAAGACGTCTCAGTATGATCACCCATGTGGTAAGAGGAAGACAGAGGAATCATTGAAAATATATGGAACAATGTGGGCAGGAAAATATCCGGGCTCATGACATATGTACTGGCTGGTGAATAGAGGAGGCTATACAACACGAAAGCTGGTGGTATTGTCTATTCATCGTCTATCAAACAAATCTGATGCTATCATGGGCTGGAGAGAAGCAAATGCAGATTTTGTGGAGAGAAAATCGCTAGGAAGGAGGCCATTTTTGAGACTGGCGTCTAGTTGCGAGGATAATATGAAAAATGATCTCACGGAGTCATTACCTCGGAGGAGGAGGATGCGACACTGGAAGACTGCTCTTGAGCTACAACAGTGCTGCCACCTGATGGGACGAGTTGTGACATCTTGTCTATGCTGCTTTGTCTGTAAGTCATAAAGAAACAGTTGCGATCCATTAGAACTCCAGGTCAGTCTAACCTGGAATGTATCACTTTGATATTGGCATAGGTGAAGAGTTAGAATTTCATTCAGCTTAGAAGCCACTATGTACGAGTACGAGTACATTTTAAAACTGCCCCCCCCCACCCTCGAAATGAAACTTTCAGATCGTCAGTTCCTTCTGTGTCTTTCATAATGGTATCCATTTTAACATCTTTTCCATGTTTAACATTTCCGATCCAGTCTTGGTTTGCTATTTTTTCAGTAAGAAATTAGTTATCTTTTTTTTAGACCGCACATTTCGTTAATCTGCTAATCGATTAACAATACATAAATGTCCATTTAAAATGTTATGGTGCTTGTATATGTTTTACAGTTATTTAAATAGTATGCTAACAGAGTTTCTGTAAGTAGTGTAATTGAGTGTATGTGGCTCAACATTGTATCCATTGGCGAACGGCTTTATGATTTTGGGAGAGGACCTTCAGCTGATCACAGTGGCCGCCCGTCCTAAGGCATGAACCATCTTCTCTCGCTAGAACACTGGGATCGTGGGTTCGAATCCCACTCGGGGCTTGGATGTCTGAGTGCGTTTATTCTGTTTGTGTTCTTCTGTGTGTTGCCTTGCAGCGGACTGATCCCCCGTCCAAGGAGTCCTACCAACTGAGAACGCGGCCAAGGTTCGCAAGGGCTGTAGAGCCATAGATACGTAAAGCACCTTCAGGTTTTAGAACAGTTGAATATCTATTCAGCCGATCGCAGTGGCCGCCCAATCTAAGATATAAACTGTCTTCTCCCGCTCGAACGCTGGAGTCATATGTTCGAATCCCACTCGAGACATGGAAGTCTGTGTGGGTTTATATTCTGTTTGTGCTGTCCTATGTGTATAGGTAGAGGCCTTGCGATAGGCTGACCCCGCCCAAGGAGTTCTACCGACTGTGTATAGTATTATGAAAGTGAAAAAAAAGCGTCCAGGGCCCAAAGAAGGTTTGTAGAGCCATTAAATGGATGAATGAATAGATTCGCTATGGCTTGGCTTAGGCCGCGCCATAGCTCAAGCTGTTAGTCGCTGGCTTCCCACCGCGGAGGCCAGGTGGGATTTGTGGTGGACAAAGAGGCGCTGGGCGGGGTTTTTCCAAGTACTTCGGTTTCCCCTGCCAATCTTCATTCCACCGAATCCTGCCACCCGGGGTAGGCTAGAATAGGCCAATCAGTGGCCGCCGTGCTGAGTCGACCCAGCTGGACTCCACCCCCCACCAAGCGAAATGGTTTGGGTTTGTAGTTTATTAGTTGATTAATTCGTCACTTCTGTCCACAATACTAGCGAGTTTTTGTAATTCTTATTCTAGGGCTTTTCATTCATTCACGAATGGCTCTACAGTCGTTTATTGTGTCCTGGTCTCTTTTTTCAGTTTTGTAATCTTCTTCACACAGACTCACTGGACGAGTGATCGGCCTGTCGCAGGGCCGCCACCTACACACAGGACAAAACAAATCCAGAGTAGACTTACATACAAATATCCATGCCTTGAATGGAATTCGAAGCCACGATCCCAGCATCCGAGCGAGCGAAGACAGTTCATGTTTTAGACCCCGCGGTCACTGTGATCGGCTATCCTAGGATATATTTCACGGAATACACCTTAGGTATGCTGGGTACGTTTTCATGATCGCTTGAATAAATGAAACCGGGTTATCAGAATAGGCAGGAACCGTGTACGTCTCGTTGAGATCGAAGCAGAGCCTATTCTGATACAGAGTTGACTCGAAGGAAGTTAGCATGAATTCTCCATTGACTGGTGGAATAAATAACTCTGCCCAGCGAACTATAAGCTAGCTCAAGTGATGGCAAGGGTTATTTCCGTAGAACAAATCTCACATTCTCAGTCGCTGTTACACAATGCGTAGCTTTCATGTAAACAAACGCAACGAGCCCTTGCCAAATTGTAGAGAATTTGAGTGTATAAGTGACCCAAGTAAACTGAAGCTTATACTGTTTCGAATGGAAACTATTCTGGAATATTATTAATTTTCGGACTACCAAAATACGTAAAATAGATAATCTGTTATCTTATCTGTTGAGCCAACAGCCGCAAGGCCAATTACAAACACAGCACAGCGTAGTAAAAATAGTTACATACTGGACGAACACAACATAAAGTCAAAGACTAATTAAAGGTAAATACTGGAAGAAAAACACATTAATGCATATAAGGAAACAAACAAAATAATAATAATAATAATAATAATAATAATAAACTAGATGCGTAAAATAAATAGGGGCTAACTCTATCAATTGGGTCAACTGACTAGGCTTTTACCCGAGGACGTAATTAGAATCCAGTCTCCGAAACGTCGTTTTTAATTAAAACCTTCCAGATCTTAATTTATCAGAATACATATTCACGAGACCTACGAGTGGGCAATGCTCTTACTGGGGGAAATCCATTTAAATGCTGAGCAGCAGGTACCCAGATTCTTAACAGTTTCGATGATGATGATGATAATAATAATACTTTACTTTTTACTTACTTACTTAATAATAATAATGATAGCCAACAGTAACAGTAATAATAATTTGTTTGTGTATGACTTAGCGATTTAGCTACGAATGTTACTCTTACATAGTGACGAATGTCATAAGAAAATTATTATTCAGGTTGAAATGGAAAGCATTTGGAATATTCTAGTTGAGATTTTTTTTTCCTTGGCACTACAGCCCCAGTGGGCCTAGGCCTACCTCCATGAACTCCGTTCACTTCGGTTTTTCTAGATCTTACAAATACGGTAGGACTCCTTGGGCGAGTGATCAGCTCGTCACAAGACAAACACAGAAAAACGCACACAAACATCCATGCTCTAAGTGGGTTTCGAACCCACGATCCCGGCTTCCGAGCTAGCGAAGACAGTGCATGCCTTAGACCGCTCGGCTACCGTGACCGGCAGTTGAGATTTGGTTCAGGGTACTATTCCAGCGTACACCTGAATATCAGAGGATAATCACGAGAAGTCTCAGTCGGCCAGAGTGAGCCCTTCTACTTCCCGAATACAAGTTTAGTTTGTTATCACCATCGTCATCGAATTTTGTTGGCCAGACATACCGTATTTACGCATGTATAGGCCGCACATTTTTTTTTCCAAAAATTCAAGAGGAAAACTGGGGTGCGGCTTATATTCGAAATATTCGAAATCACACTTCATTTAAAAAAATTATATTCATAATTAGTAATACAGGGTGTTCTACTCCTGAAATAATATTCCAAGAAAATTATTTTTTCTATAATTGCTGTCTGAAAATTGTGCTGCGGCCTATACACGCACGCGGCCTATACATGCGTAAATACGGTAATTTTGCTGTGAATGATATGTACAGAAGCAACTTTTATAAACTTTCTCACAAATTGCTCCCCATGTTAGAAGTGCATTTATATAGCGTAACGGATCTGCCACGTTCAGTACTGTAACTGTTGCCAACATTTCTTTTTCTTTTGAAATTACTTGACAAATTAAATGCAATCTTTTATGAAGGCCTTTAACTGAACTCGTAACCATGACTCAGTGGTCATAACAGCGCTCAATCGTTATTTTCCTTTCATATTTCAGTGCGTCACCTAATAATCTCCCCCTAAACGTCGTTGGCCAGTCACAGTGGCCGCCTGAAATGTCTTCGCCTGCTTGAACACTGGATCGTGGGTTCGAATTCCACTCAAGGCATGGATGTTTGTGTTTATTTTGTTCTGTGTAGATAACGGCCTTGCGTCGGGCTGATCCCCCGTTCAAGGAATCCTACCGACTGTGCATAGGATTAAGAAACTGAAGTGAAACGAATTGTTTCACGAATACCCTATGCTCCAAGTGGGAGCAACAGGAATAGATAGGTAGGTAGGTGGAAGGATGAGTGGGTAGATAGGAACTCCGTTGAGTGAGAATCCAATATTTTTCCGCGGACAGACAAACATCAATTTTGCTTTATTCTTTTGCTCCCTAAAACAGAAATTTGAGCTGTACAAATATGTGAATATCTTAGGGGAGCTTCTGAACTTGTTGTGGTTAGCTTACGTGTTGCAGGACGTGAAGGGAAGTATCTTCTTAGCTGAATCCTGTCTCTTGCTGTTGTCTCTTTTCACCGAAGGCGCTTGAATGTTGTGTGTCTGCAGAACCTGCAAAGAAATATGCAGATCTGTATTAGTTCATGGCCTATTCACTGCTCACTCACAGCAGAAGGAGACAGACGTGTTGCATGTATTGCCGCTGAAAATTAGTAAGCGTGCTTCCATACTCGGTAATTGTAGGATTTGAGATTCTCACAGCGGTGGTTATGAAGAGTACTATCTCCTGGGTTATAGCGCCATATAGTCCATTGAACTTCAACCGACGTTTCGGAAGAACATCGAATAAGCCGAGCAGGATACCAGCGTGAAATCGGGTGACAAGCCGACCCTGAAGATGGAGGCTATATGTTCCTCCGAAACCTCAGTTGACTTTCAGCGGACTACACAGCGTTATATCAGGGAAGATAATAATCTTCGAAAATGTGGTTCGTGATATATTTTCTGTGCTGGAACCAAACGTAGGGAAACCCGTTTAAAACGATCTACCCCGGCAGGATGTCCATTTCTTGTCATTTTCTTATGGCTTCCGCCCTCGGGAGCGCTAGGTGTCTGCTACAGGTGCTTTAGTGCGAATATTTCACACGTAAAGGACGAGAAAATAGTAGGAGGCACTACCCATCATTATAGGACTCATTTACGCATAGACGAGGGCTTACCCCAAAAATGTAACTTAACGAACGGAAACACGGCAATTTCATCAACAATTTTAGAGACACCCGAAGATGACCAATGTTGGTCGAAACATGTAGTGTGCATACACCAGTGATGTAGAAGAGATCTGAAGTTTAGAGTAAAGGTCTTAAAAAGTTAGTTGCATATAATGCTGCTAACAAAGAATAAAATAAAGATGGATATTTCTTTGCCATGCAACATAATATGACAGTCTGATTTTTCCATACCTCTGTGTAAATATATAGTATTCTTCAAATACTAATCTGGAATGTCTTAATAATAATAATGTAAAGCTATTCCTGTAACAGGCCATGGAAGCCCATAGGGTTGTGAGACGTCGAGGCTCCCACATTTTCTCTAGACAGTCGGCTCACAGATGGCGGTACGGTTGTCAGCCTTGCGCGCCGGCCGCCCTTTACCCTCCAGGAAGATACTTAATACTCATTTTTTTAGAGGCAGAATCTATCCAAGGGTCATAATGCTGCTGGAATTATTCAGTATATTGAAAAAAATCCAATGACCTCATCGGGAATCAAACCGCGACGTTCCGGCTTGTAGCATAGTGCCTCAAACAACTAATAAGTATACAAATTGGAAGGATAATCCGCCGGGGCGTGAAGCTCACCACTCACCTCCAACTAGTGCCGAGGTGGAAAAAAAATGGTTCTATACATCCACTCCCCCATATGCCTTCTTGGCGTAGTGCATAATTGGTTAAGCACAGGGACAACTTTACCTTTTATACTTCTCTATATTTATTATTTGCAGTTTTTAACCTGTTTTCTTTACACTCTGTCGTTAAACTAAGAAAATTAGTAATAAGTAAATTAATGAACTAATTGAAAATGTCACTACCCCTTAAAACGAAATACCGAGAGACCATCGCCGAGATATACAAATGATGGCTATTTGGCATTACATTTGCACAGCTCAGATAGTCTACGTACCGAAATCATTTTGGATTCTATTCAAATTATTGAGAAGAAGAGTACAGCGAGGCCAGTAAAGAGTGTACTTTTTTTCTTTCAAATTTTTAGAGAGGAGACTGCCATGCTTTGTATGGTTTTCTATACGAAATTATTTTGAGTACATGCAATTTCATGATAGCGCAGTCGCCTAAAGCAACTGCCTATGGGCTGGACGGCCGAAGGGTCGATTTCAAATCCCGATAGGGGTAAGATTTTTCTTCTCTTAGCGTCATTCATACCGGTTCTGGGGCCCATCCAGCCTCCTGTCCAATGGGTACCGGGGGCTCTTTTCTCGGGGTATAGCAGATGGGGCGTGAAACTAAGCGCTCTCCTCCAACTACTGTTAAGATCAAGAATATGTAGTTAGTTAGTTATTGGAGAGGGTGGGTTTCCCCATGCACTGAGACCTGTATTGGTCCGTTGTGCTTCCCTCTATGATTTCTACCAGTCTCTATATCCTACCGGTACTGGTGCTTACCATCAGTCCCGCCCAGCCAGCGAGACCGGCTCTACTAGCTGAGAGGTATCTATAATTATAGATACCTCTCAGCTAGTAGAGCATTATAATGCTTCCCCCATCTACCAGCGGTATTATAGTCTGCTGTTGGGCGGGAAACGTCCGTTAATTTGGCTCAGTGACCTCCTTAGGAGATATGAGGTTCTTTTACGCGCCGTAAAGCTACGACACGGGACCCACGGCTTAAAGTCCCTCTCGGAGGACTTGTTCCCTGAATTTTTCCGCCCTTAAAAATTCGACGACCTCCGCCGGGCATTTGAACCCGCGTACTACGAGTCATGAGGTGGGAACGTTACCTCTAGACTACGGAGGCCGCTTTCAAGAATACGTAAATCTATACATCAATTCGCCATACGTGTTCATGGCGCAGTCCTTAATTCAGTAATCACAGGGATAAATTTACCTTTAAATACAATTTAGAGCATGCAAAAGTACAGTGCCACCGTTTACATATTTCTCGCTTTGGGTGTTGACCTATTGGAGAGTTTAGCAGCCAGAAAGTAAATAGAGTATATAGACGTCTGTCTGAAGGGGACTACGTGACGCGAAGGCGGGACAAACAATGTGCGGATCTCCCACGCAATTTGGACAGGATCCCAAGTTTCTTCGGCCGATCAAAGGCCAGAGACTCTATCCACAATGCAATGCATGGCGCCTAGCCTACCACAATAAAACTCCATCGCCATGTTGATATCCTTCGACAAACAAATGAACGTTTCTTACTGAAGTTGCAGACATGTGCAAACCTCATATGACTCTCTGCGGTGGTTCGTCATTTTCAACTACGAATATATACTGTTCTCTTTTCCAAATATCTTATGTGAAATTTAATCAAAATCTCCTCACGGAGAATGGACTTCATATGGAAGGACTAACTCCATGTAAGGCGTTGTTACGCTTTCCTTCGAAACACCGGGGACCCTTGGAAGCGATGTGATGGAGCCAAAGCCTTCAGGCGAGAGATGTCGGTACTGTAGCTCGCCCTTCATCACCTCTTTCGGACAGGCAGGTGGAGTGGGACCAATATTTCAGGGTTATTCTCCTACGATTGGTTCCCAAACTGTATGTGCAGTATTGCCATTTCTTCAGTTGTTTCATATGACGATATCTGGTATTGTTCAAGGGCATAACAGAGATTTAAAGTGTTCGAAAATGAAGGGAGGAAAATAATTTTACTTAAGAGGTAAAAGATGAAACTATCCCTGTAAGAGGACGTGGAGACCCATAGGGATGTGGGACGTCGAGGTTCCCACATTTTCTAGACAATCGGCTCACAGATGGCGGTGAGGTTGCCAGCCTTACGAGCCGGCCGCCCTTTACCTCCAGGAATATTCCTGGTTTTCATTTCTGTTAGAGGCTGAGTTGACCCGAGAGCCTTAGTGCTGCTGGAAGGATTAGGTCGAACCCGCGACTTTACGGCTTGTAGCATAGTGCCTCAACTAACTACGCCAACGCGTGCCCCTCTGCCTAAGAGAGATCAGCTAAATGAATATTGGAGAATATTTAAAATATGAGATCTACGTACTTGTACAGCTCACCCATTAAACTTAGTGGACTAAAGCCGGAGCAAGCGTCCGAGTCTACTCTTGAAAGGCAGACGAAGATTAATTTTGTTCTGGACAAGACAAGACAAATGAGGACATAGGAAAGTGGTACTAAAATTAACCTTATAGAAGCAGGTTTTGCGGTCCTATCTTAACGGTCTCAGGATCGTTTCCTAAGTCGGGCTTAATGTCAAGAGGTGTCACGCTTATTACAGAGCTATCGTTGATTTGCACACTTTCCAGTCCACCGTTACACACGGGCTAGAATTCTCAGTTCCCATTATTCGTCTCCTAGTGACGTTTCTCAACAGAAAATATCACTTCAGATCACTATGAAGTCTTCTTGTTTTCAGTCACAATTCACTAAGGACACGCTCCATTCTCGTCCTTGTACTCTTAACTGCTGAAACCTCCTGGGCTCTTTACTGCCCTGAACTCTCCTGGACTCTCATTAATCTAAGTCAAAGTCACATTGCGACTGACGGTCAGTCAGTCAGTAAGTCTTGGTGTTAGCCCCATCTGGAGCTCATGACCAGATATTTATTACTCTTTGTCATTTACGGTCTTGTTTCTGTGGGCGCCCTCTCTAACGAGAGGGCGGGTCTGTCTTTTATATATGCTCAGTACTGTAAGCTACAACAGGTCTTCGTTATATAGACTCCGCACTTACAACACAGAAGACACAGTCACATGATTCCTAGCCATCTCGCCAGTCTATTGGCGTGCTGACTGTGGCCTAGCAACGAGCTATATACGTTCGTCCTATTGTTGCGTGTTCTTATCGCGGGGTGTTTATCGAGCCGTTGCCTGGCAATGACATGTCACAGTATTTTGGAAAAATGGCTGGACGAAAGACTGTTATGCGTTTTTTCTGTTCGTTATCCGCGTTTGGAAGAATATAATTTTGCCATATTTTCTACAGATTATTAATACGACTTGTTTTACACTTACACTTTTCATCCCTTAATCTCGTTCAGCCTGTTTTATATTCCTGGGAAATTCTCAGCGGCGAAAGATGTGTTTGTCTCCAGTCTTTCAACGGTAGTACGTTTGGTTGTTCCTTTTACTTCTTTGTGGAAGGTAGTGTTTAAAAGTATCTATGCTTCAAGAAAGTTCTTTACTTTTTGCTGTTTTATTCTCAAGTATTTTTTAATGAAGACACTGAGATTTTGTTTTGCAGCTGAAGAACAGTTTTATAATTTATGATCCGGAGCGCTCCTGAGCGCATGCTTTACGCGTATGGGCTGCCGAAAATGACGCCACGGGCCATATAAACCTAAGATGTATTGGAGTGCCGAGAACTCGGTTCTGTTGTCATTGCTTGAACTTCAGTTTTTTCTGCTTTAGTTACGAAAACGCAATTTAGTAAGTCGAATTAAAGTCCGCTAATTAATTCATTAGTTAGTAATATTTCTGTTGGTTATTAATTTAATTGCCACTGATTAATTTCCCAAGTTCAGGAGGCCTTGAAACTGTGGCTGTGATATGATTCATACAACTTGCCATAGTCGCTGCAGTCATGGGAGGGGTTTCGGCACCAGATTTTCGGAACGTGGCGTGAAAGAGAACGAAATGAAAGCAAGAAAGAAAGGTCAAGGTATAAAGAAATAAATATCTAAACCAGCTGAACGAAAGACGCTAACGCAGACAAACATGCGAGTAGACACAAGTAAAATTTAAGAATAGTGAATGAACCACTGTAAAAGTTTCAACAAAATGTAACAATAAAACACAGAATGGATACAAATGAAGTTTAGTATAGTGCTGATGAGTGTTTCGTGAGAAGTCTCTACGTTATATTTAGTGCAGAAATTTTGGCGTCCATAAACATTTCCTTAGCTTCTTAGTATTTTTGCAGTAACTTATATCCCGTTAAGTAGACACTTAGGAAGAGATTTGTTTGCTGTGTTAGTGAACGTGCTATGAAACTACTCTTTAAAGCAAAAAATAGAAGAGAAGTATAGCTAGGAATCTAATATTCGCATGGTGCTCGGTCACTCACCCGTTCCTTGAGCCCAAAGATAGTAAGGAGGAGGTCCCACAGAACCTTTAGGAAGCACCGGATCATCTTGTAATCCTGTCATTCCATATGAAGCTCTAATTTAACACTAGCAGCCCAATGGACAATAAATCAGCTCGCCACTTCTTAACTCGAGCGACAAATGCATCGAGAATGGACGGTAAGGGTCATTATCCGTGCGCTCTTCGTACAGGATCGTGATCAGTCGGTCCTTCGCGCCCCTTGTTACTTGTTTAAAAATAGGTTATTTTGCGTACGCTATAGCTATACGAGCTGTATAAGGGGAGGAGTTCCGCAACGGGATGAAGAGGTAGAAGAACTGGAAGAAACAAATGAAACGAGGAGAGAGTAAAAGAAATAAAACCAGGTAAGAAAGAAGAAATTATAGAGAGAAAAGTGGCATATATAAGGAAAATCGAGAGATAAATAAGGAGAAAGTGACAGAAAGAAGTAAAGTACAAATCCAAGAACGGAACAACGAAGAAATTGATGAAGAAGAAGAAGAAGAAGAAGAAGAAGAAAGAAAGAAAGAAAGAAAGAAAGAAAGAAAATATGTACGGTGAGGGACAAGGAAGAGATCAGTAAACAGACAAGGGAAAGCAAACAGGTAATTTATGCATGAATAGGGGGGATATGTACACCAATATTTATGAGGTCAGAAGTGAAAGAACAGCAGCAAAATGAATGAGATGGCAGGACATCTGTGGCGAAACGGTCGTTGTAGTAAATGGGAAGTTACTTCAGTATGACAGAATTTGGTTCCAGAGTTTGATTTACAACTATTGCTGCAGAGTGTCTGTCTTGTTCATAGGGTTGTTTGTATGTGTGTCTGTGTATGTTTGCGGACGGGATCAAAGTTGCGCCTCTGTCCAGCTCTTCTCAGTCACTGACACGGAATTGGAGTTTTACGTCATCAACATCTGGCGCCGCCGCCACGGTTATAGTAATATTCCAGTCGTTGCCACGTGACCTGGACCTGGTTTTGTCTCCTAATCGTGCTTACATTAGGTATAGTTGAGAACCCATGTGTTTATTATGGGAATAATAATTTAATGATTTTGCACATATTAAAATGAAGACTAACAGAAAGACCAAGCATTCAGTGCTGAAGACCATCATTGGCGTAATCCGTATAGATATGAAATGAACGATACGGCTAACATGCTTACCTATGTTGCCTACATCTCTCTCTGTCTATGGCTCTACAGCCGTTTGGACCTTGGGCGCTTTTTCAGTTGCTTAATCTATACACAGTCGGTATGATTCCTTTGACATGGGATCAGCCCGTAGCAAGGACTCTGCCTATACAGAGAACAACACAAGAGCAAAATAAACGCACACAGACATCCATGCCTCTAGTGGGATTCGAATCCATGATTCCAGCATTCGATCGAGCGAAGACGGTTTATGTCTTAGACTTCGCGGCCACTGTGATTGTCTGGTGCCTACATTTTATCTATTAGTTGTATCTCTACGGATATTATAAAGCCCCATACTAACAAATGCCGAACAAGGAGAAACAGAAATAGAGGGAACTGAACGAACCTGACAGTCTTCATTCTGCCGATCGGATCAGCTGTTATCAGCATTCTGATGTTCTAAGCAGGACGAGTTAGGAGATAAGAGTCAGTCAGTTAGTGAAGATTTGGTTGGAGAATTAGTGAGTTAGTCAGAGAACAGCTGGTAACTGAGGCTGGGGACAATTCGGGAACCCGGAGGAAAAGGAACGTCCACCGTTGGAAGCCGCTACCAAGCAACGGCTATTGGAGTCTGTAACAGACTGAGAACACTAGCCTGTGTGTCACAGTGATCTGTAAAGTGTAATCATGATTTGTATGTTAAAATGCGTAAAGAATGTGATTACTAATGCAAACCCCGTCTGTAGTCACTCCATACACGTGACAGTATGCAAGCCGATATTCTGAATGGCCGCTTTCGGAAACGTCTCCAAAAATGTTTGATTTGAGGTTGTCACAACGGGGATTATGGAGAACACTCTCTTCTGGGATGCAACGCCGTATGATTCTGTGGAAATACACCGATGTTTCGGAGGAATGTACTGCCTCCACCTTCATGTTCGAAAATAAAGCCAAGCATGGAACCAGTTCTACTTGTCCCGTTATTTTGCTCGTTTCTTGCATGGCTTACTCTTCGATCCTGAACATGGAACCATTGCGTTCTTCCGATATGTCGGTGGACTTCTACATGACTGCACGGCCTACATCCCAGAAAAGCGTATTCTTTTTCAAAGGGGTTGTGTGGACATAAAAGTTGTATAAGAACTACGGTTTAATGCAATGCTCCAAACATCGCATATTCCAGGAATTAACTACACGTATCCAAGGGACATGAGAAAGTCTGTATAGTGTGCTGTGTCGTCTCATGGAAGTCGCGACACAAATAGCCCTTTGTTGTGTTGTTCCATGAAGAGAATCAGGTTCCTCTGCTGCACCCTCGAGGTTTCGCTTTTATTTCTGTGGGCGAACGTGTCCAGATGCGCGTTAGTTTCTTTGCGCATGTCTTCTTGTTACGGAAGATCTTGATTGCTTTCCCGATTTTATGCTATTTTTAACTACGTATTCGTATATTTTTATACAAATGGGCTTGCTTTTACAACCACATTTATATCGTGTGTAGGCTGGCGATGTAGCCTATTAGATGGTAGAGGATGTTGACAGTATGGGGCTGTTGGTACGGGATTAATCATCTCTGATCCATCGGATTAATGTCTTCAGATCTCGTCTCTAAAAAGTGTGATGGAATTGTTGGATAAACCTTCTCTGGGATTTTGCTATATTTTGACTCATGCTGAAACAACGAGAATGGATTTTGCGACATTTTATGATATCAATTTCAGCAAAAAGGTGCTTTCTCTTTACAGGTAACGCCTATTTGCAATTAGCCTGAAATCATTTAACAATGAGGGTAACTCATATTTTAGTTACAGATATAAGAACAGTAGTCCATTTTATTTTTTGTATGATTATTGCCATGAATGTAATTTATTTGATAGATTTAAAACGTTTCATTGGATCCTTTACAAATATTCATTGTTTGGTAGACGTGTCGATTGAATTCCTCGGTCCCTGTAACACAGTTCTTCATAATACCTCGATTAGGCCAATGCCGATTTCTTCCAGATCTTTTCCAATTCTATATTAGTTAAAGATCCTGTCTTTGGATGCTACATTCGGCGTCCTATTTATCTACGTAAATCGTAATCGTAAATCACTTGAAATGGCTGTTTAAATTAACATCGAATTAAAATGTTTCGAATTAAGGTTGTTCGGTTTCTAGGGAGACATATAATTCCGTAGAGTTTAAGTCTATAACATTTTCTTTTAATGAGACATCTAGGTCACTAGTGCTTTTTTAAATGGCATCCTATGTTTTTCATGTCCTTAAGAAGAATGGTATGAAATTCCGCTACACACTGTTCAAAACTTGTACGAGTCCTTTCCAAGAAGGATTTCAGCTGTACTGAAGGCGAAAGGTGGTTCAGCACCACATTAATAAAGAAATGTATAAAGTATCTTCAGAGTTTCCGGTATTTTGTCCAACCCCTCTACATTCATTAACTGAGACAAGTAGTTCTTCCACCTTTTCAAATTATTATGCGAATCTGCAATCAGATCACAATTCTCATCCTTCACTAAGTTACTTCTAGGTTGAGAACTCCCTTAAATTTGTTTATTCCTCTATACAGGTCTCTGATGTTCTTGTTCTTACTGTTCGTTGAAAGCTCATCAATTCTGTCTTCCAGGTATTTCTACTCCGTTTTTTTTCTCTCTCTCTCTTGAGTTGCCTGCTGATTTCACATCTTATATATATAGTTCAAATTATCCCCATTTATTTCGCTTGGATCCTGTAACCACTGCAATTTGGCCTGTTTCCTTTGATCAAATAATTCTGGCCAACCGTCGTCGAACCATAGCTTATGCTTCTTCAATTCTTAATAACATAGGCTCTCTTTGGCTGTATTTTTATATTCTATCTAATAGTTTCCGAAGCTCCATTAATATTCACCTAGCCCCTAAGTTTTCCAAAGCTGTAAACCTATTTGCGATATCAACACGATACTACTCTTTACAATCTAAAAAAGGCTATCCCTTTAACAGGCCATGGAGGCGCCGAAGGGTTGTGAGACGTTCAGGCTCCTACATTTTGCAGACAATCGGCTCACAGATGGCGGTGAGGTTGTCATTCTTATGCACCGGCCGGCCTTTACCCCCAGGATGATTCCTGGTACTGATTTCTGTTAGAAGGTGAGTCGACCCCAAGACTATAGTGCGGCCAGAAGGAGTAGGTCAATTGAAGAATCCAGTGACCTCATGGGGAATCGAACCTCCGACATTCCTCAAACAACTACGTTACGGCATTCCCCTTTCTACCCTCTACCTCGTTTAGTTTCTTGAAATTTAACCTCTCCATATGAAATTATGCGTTGTTTGTTAAGTCACTGCCAGTCTCCATCAATTTTGCCACCACCAGAGAGTGGTCAGTATCACAGTTTGCTCACCTGAACGGTCGGATATTAAGTACACTTGAATGCCGTCTCCTCCCCATCGCAGTATGGTCAATTTGACTGCGAGTCTTTCAATTGATATCCATGTATATTTATGAATATTACGATGTGGGAACATTGTATTTTTACTGATTTTTTAATATGGCAAAGTTTACTACTCTAACTCCATTGTCATTACTAATTTCGTGTAAACTCTCTTTCGCAATTATCTGTTTAAAAATGTGTTCCCCACATATTTTGGCATTCAAATCTCCTAATAAATTCTCTTCGTGTGGTATTTAGGGAATATATCGAATACACATTCGTAGTTCCTCATAGAAGCTGTCCTTCATATCATCATTTTTATCCTCTGTTGGGGTTTGAACATTCAGAACAATTATATAACACCAGCGACCTCTTAGTATTATTCACGGCATCTATCGCAAACGAAATCTGCCCTCATAACTGCAGATATGTTTCTCTTATGTGCAGAAAACCCTGTACCTAACTCATGGTCCCCATTCCCTTTTCCATAAAGAAAAGTATGTTCCCTGCTGGTTCAGTGCCACCTCTGTCCCGTCTGATCTCCTGTACTCCCACTGAATCCGACCTATATTCTGAGAGT